CTTTCTTGCTTCGACCTGTTTTCAGCCCGCGATCGTCGGGAAGACCAGAGGTCCTATCTTCATGCAACCTAATTAAATTTGAAAGTAGATTTTTTGTCAGCTGATTGGGTACAACATGAATTGGAAGCCGGTTAACCAATCATAAAGGTGATAAATTTTTGTAACCAGGCGGGGTTGAACCTTAGACTTTCTCCTGGTGACCTATGGAGCATTACCACTGTGCTATAGATCCATAGGTCTTTAAATTGATCAATTTTAATTCAGTTTATCTAAAATTAAAACTAATAGTTTTCAGATCAGATCAGTTTACAAAAAATTAAAACTAACAGTTTTTAGATTGAATTGATTTAAAATAAACAAATTAGATTGGTTTTAGTTCTAGTTAAACTGACTTAAATCAAACTGTTGTAATTTTTACTTTTAAGATAAAAAAAAAATAATTTGAATAAAAAATTTTAATTTTTGTTTTTTTTATTTTATTTTTTATAAATTATTAGACAATATTCATATGAAAAATTATCAGTTAAATAATAAGTATATTTTTTAAGCTTTATAAAAATCTTGAATTTACTATAAGTTCTTATATATAAAGTAGATAAATATAAGAGTTATATAAGTATTGATAATATACTTGTTTTATTTAAAAATTTCTCAATTATATTAAATAGTTTTGAGTTTTTATTAATTGAAAAGTTTAATTGACTAATAGTTAAAATAATAAGAAATAAGTAAACTAAAGATTATATGTATTTATATATGTATTTTAATAATTAATATTAATAATACTATTGGTAATTAGAAGAGTTTATATATGTTAACTATAAAATATTACCATTGTATTATAGATTTATAAATCTTTTTTTTTAAAAAAAATTTATATTGTTATCAAAAAATAACAAGTTTTAAAAAGAAATTTTTTTAAAAATTAATAAAAATAATTATTTAAATATTGTTATTAAAAAAATATCAAGTTTAAAGAAATAATTTTTTTAAATTAATAAAGGATTTGTAAAAATAATAATATTTTTAAAATATAGTTTGAAAATAATGATATAAAATATAATATATAAAAGTATGGCATTTAAAATTTTAAGTTTAGAAAAAACAAAATAAAATTAAATATAGAATAAATAAATTTTTAAAAATTTAAAATCAAAGCTAATTGTTATTATTTAATTTTCATTTTAACATTGTTGTCAAACTTAAATTATTTAAAATATTAATTATTTAAATTAAGTGATTATCTATTTCATTTAATAACAATAAATAACACATTACTTTTTTAATATTGATATTTACTAGCTTTAAAAGCAAATTGTAAAATATTAATTATTATACATACCTGCATGTAAGTTTTTTAACTGTATTGTAAATTAAATCTAATTGATAGAATACACAAAACAAAGACAAGTTGTATAGATTTTTATTAAAATTAAATTAATTCGTATTGTTTTCTTTTGTAATATAAAACCTTTAAACATGTTAGTAAATCAAAATCTTTACTATATATTAATATTATTAGATTTAAGTATCAATCCTAAATCTAATCACCGATGTAAGTCCATAAAAAGATCCTAAAACGAACTAATACAAACTGTCCATATATGATTTACACAATCGTAGAAACCTCTAATGTGATGTTCCATATTTATTTACTTTTGATGATTGTTTTTTTTTTTAATGTAATATTTTAATGGGGGCTAGGAGTTGGGGGCTGTATTTCTGGCATCTTAATAAAGAGAATTTTTCCGTTAGATATTAGCTAATTGATCATAAAGCAAAAAAAGATAAACGTCAAAAAAGTAACATAGTAACCTGAATCATTGGTGGTGGCGCAAAAACTTTAGATAATGCAATCGAAACACCTTCAATTAAAGCTAATGCTAATGCTCCAAAAGCAGCGGATCGTGCTGATGCACCGATACCACCTTTTTATATCATAAAGTGGCAATTATTAGATTTTTGATTAAAGACAAAGTAATCTAAAAATAATAGAAACGAACCTCTGGCAGCCAAAACGCCACCTGTTAAAAATCCGCTTGCAATTAGATTCCACGGATCTTCCTTCTGTCTTATTCCTTTTAATGCACAATCAAATGTTGAAAATAGTCCACCCCATACCGCGAAATTTCCTCCCAATACTGGGGCACGAGCTTTAACTGCTGTGATTGAACCAATTATACGTTCTCCCTGGTTATATCAGAAAGTATATTAAATATAAACGTGATAAATGGGAAGGCCTAAATCTTGTAGGAATATACCTTTGGTGAATTTTTAGCACCCTTTACAAAGTGCCATATACTACTACCTATAGCACCCATGGCAAATGCACCTCCAGTGTCATTTAGGATAACCCACGGGCTATAAAAATTTTTTGAGTATAATTTGGAAAAATCTAAACGAGCGAAACGCAAAACGAGAGCAATTTTACCATGGATCGCGATTATGATCTCCGTAACGTGCCATTATCTACGTACAAGTTCAATAAATTCGTTCAAATGAAATAATTTATAATTATGGATAGTGATCTAAAACCACCGATGTATATTTTTTTTTTTTGAGGACGTGTGCTATTTATACAATTTTTTTGTACTAAATTTATATCACGTGAATTCACATGAGATTTATTAAACATAATGAGAGGTCTATTGATGTTGTTAATTTAATCATTTAATCAAGTTATTGTTTTTTGCGAAACCATTTTGGCAATGAACGGTTTGAGCCGGAACCTTCGCTTTGACTCTTTGACTTTTTTTTCACACTTGACCCATCTTGATGAGAGGTTTCAGACAACTTATGTCCCACGTTTTCCTGTTTTATGGTTGTGTCGTTGGGAACAATCGAGGCATTAACATCTACTGTGGTTTGAAGATGAGGAATATCTTCTCGAAGTTTTAAGTATTCTTCTGACAAATAAGGTTCAGAATCTAAATTAGAAAATTAATGAGTTAAATATAAGTATTCTTATGATAATCTGTTATCTATAAAGTAATTAAACAAATCTATACCATTTTCGAATTTGTTTAACCAGATGAAATACACTACTGAAGCCGGAGACAATTCAGCGTGAAAAAGCGTTAGGTTCTGATCCGAAAGAATCTTTTTAGGGGGGGTAGTATCTGCACAATACATCGAACTTAAGGATTAATCAAATGAAATTACAATTAGCGTTTATGTCCTGACAAAGTATTAAAGGATACATAATTCAAATGCGCTATGAGGTGTTCGTAACGCATTTTTGACAAATTCGTATAAGCTGGAAACTAAAGTTAAAAATAGATGAATGTAAAAATACTTATAAACAAAGTGATGACAATAATAACAATATTAGAACTCATGAATTAACGTTCCATTAATACCTTTTTCTTTTGACATGAATGCGACTTGCAGTTGAAAACCATCAGGAAATTTCACTCTTATCAAGGTCTAACATAAACGGGTGATTAATTAAGATAAGCAAAAAATTATCATTTGAAGTAGTTTAACCTCCAACCTTTGGATATTTGCGCTCTTTTTCTTCTTGTTCTTGAGCTCTTACTTTACTAGTTTTAAAACCAACATTCTCTTGAGCAACACGTTTAGAATTTTGCATTGCCAATAAGAACTGTAATTCGGAAGCCGTCAATTCATAAAAGGAGTCTGGGAGGTCTACTAAAGGTATAAAATATTTTAAAAATAGTTAAAGTTATGATTTCGTTTATAATAAATACAAAATTTTGATATTCGCTTACTTTGAGTTGGGAATTGTGCTTTTTCTGGTAGGGGATTAAAAACCTTTACGTTACGATCAAAGTAACCTCGTTCCGGTGATTGATTTATTGGATCTGCCATTGTTTGAACGACTGACGGGTGACTAGTTTCCGACACATCGTTATTCTCTGAAATATGAATCTGTTCAAAAGATGGTTTTATTACATCATCGTCAGTGCTTAAAGTGGTCGGAGCCTGATCCGGAAGATTAGAATCTATTTCCATTGATTCAATATTTTGCTCTAAGTCCATTTTTGAAAGTCCATCGGTGGAATCTGGAACGGTCAATGAATTAACCTCCGAATTAGACTGTTCAATATCAATTCTATCAGTTATTTCTGTTAACGTAGTTGCATCATTTTTCGGAGATTCATCAATTGACCCCGTCGGTACGACTGATAAATGATCCTCCGAATTTGATTTTTCTTTGTCAATCTTTTTAGATTTATCGGTTGGCTCTGTAGGCACAGTTGCTACAGCAGTGTCACCTGATATAGTATTATTCTTAGGGACTTGTAGTGGCGTAATTATATCATTCAAAACATCCTCAAGGCTTGATTCTGTATTTCTGAACAAAAGACGTAACACTATATTTCCAGATGTAATTCCAGCCAATTGTAAAGTCGTAGATTTTAATAAAGTAATGGTTCCATACTAAATCAATGTTATATATATAAATTTATCAAATTGAATATAATATAATATGTATTTACATAAATTCTTAAAACATTTTACCTCCTTGTTTAATAACAGACACACCGGTTGTTGATAAAAGTGTGCGTCCTTAGATTGCCCAGCAATTTTCTTAAGGAGGGTTTTCTTTTTAGGCACCGGAGCTGTACGTCTTGTGAGATTTAGGGATCTATAAGAAATAATAATTGGAGTCAATAAACAATATCGTATGAGATTCTTATTAATGAAAATATTTACCCATCCTGAGAGGAACTTTCGAAATGTATTAATATATCCCATAAAGATGACGTAATCGGGAATTTTCCAATTAATCTTCCCCCATCATCCAATTGTAAGGCAACCTGAACGTCGCTATGAACTAAATTAAGTTAATCGATTGATATAAGTAAAAAAAAATCTCTTGATTTATGGTAATGGGTGACCTAAATACCTTTTTGTGCGGTAATTCGAATCAGATCAAGTTTTGCGCCTGGTGCAAGATTGGCAAATCTAACAGACAGGCCAAGATCGAGAGTTTTCTTGTTTTGTCTATAGTAAGGATAGGAAATATAAGCATTTTGATTTAATATATTGGTCAGATCGAAGTAACTTACTTTAAACCCCAATTTTCAACGTCAGTCATGCTTTGTTTCTCACAAACAGTAATAACTATTTGTTTTAACGTCATCATTGGAGTTGTTTTCACGGTTTGCCGCTTGCCGTTGGGAAGAAGAACAACGACGTTGGAAGCCATGGTAAGGTTATTTCGCGAATCAAGGAAAAATATGTGTAGCTTTTTAAGGTTGTTAATTGCACGTGATTTTAAGTAGTGAGTTTAATATAAAAATTTTTTTACTTTTAAATATTACAAATTAAAAAATTAAAAAAATTCTTAATACTTAGACTTTATTAAATATTATGTTTACTATCTTTATATTAATAATCTTTTTTTTTAAACATTGCTAAACTTTATTGAATTTATTAGATAGCATATATATTTGAAATTACAAAGTCATTTTATATTTTTTTTTTATTGCAAATAGGTATTAAATATAGATTTTATTTAAACAAAATATTTATTGTCATTACATTAACAGTAATTTTATAATTTTTTTTTTTTTTATATATTAAATTTATTTAAATTTTACAATAAAATTATTTGATAGATTTATTAAAAATCTATTTTATATAACTTGTTATTTTTCAATTAAATAATTAATATATTATTATTTTATTTGATTATAATTAATATTAAATTTTATTTTAATAAAGAAGAATATATCAAAAGCAAGTATCTTTCCAAAATTTATCTCAAGAAATTGTTATTCAAATGAACAAAAAAGATTGAATGAGTGAAAAATTAATACAAGTTTGGTTAAACAAAATCTGACATTATCAAACTAAAGGTTTGCTAAAAAAAAAAAAATTTATTAGTTTTAGATTCTTTTGAAGGACATTTAATAGAATTTGTTAAAAATATATGCAAAGAATTAAATTATATACTAGCAGTTATTTCCAGAATCTTACATTTATAGTGCAACCACTTAATATATACTTAAACAAGTCTTTTAAAGATAATCTATAAAAAAAGTGAAATACATGGTTAACAAATGAGATAATTTTAAATAAAGACAAAAAATTAAAAAAACTATTTTACAAACTTATATGCGAATGGATTCTTCAAGCATAAGAGAAAATATTAAATCAAATGGTTGTAAAATCTTTTTTAAAATGTAATATTTCTAATGCCAATGATGGTTTACAAAATTATTATTTATATAATTCAGATAAAAAACAAAAAAAAATAAAAAATTAGTATATTTAGGTAATTAATCAGCAACTGAAATTGAATTTAATAATAGTGAAGAAAATAGTGAAAATGAATAAAATTTTTTACTTTGATTTTTTGTATAACAGTTACACGATTTTTCACGCAGATCATAAGGGTAAATTTTTTCTTATAAAACTTGAGGGATCGACATTCATATAAAAAATTCATTTTTTATAATGAACTGCAACGGCGGGCTGTTTTTAAACCTTGATTTCGAAGGTTTCTATAAAAAAAAGTTAACTTGTAAGGTGTAGTGCGGCGATTTAGAAAAATAAATACTATGTCATACAAAAGTTTAAATTAAGGTAAAAAACAAAACTGAGAATAATCTAGCTCGCAAAGATCGTCCGTCTTTTCACACCAATAATGTTATAGCGCTTTCTATTTTATCAACTTACAAAGGTATTTCCAAATTTCTAATAATACACCTATTTATTTTTCACAAACGGTCGCTAATATAATTTACTTTAAAAATAGCCAACCGTACGAACCGTTCAGAGATCTAGATAGTAATAGCTAGGAACTAGCATTTTTCAAGTAATATTCGTTTAGATAAGTTTCTAGATAACAATCGTCGAGAACTAGCACCTTAGTCTAGATAATAAAAATCGGATCACAAATAGGTACTAATATAATTTATTTTAAAATAGAAAACTATACGAACCGTTACAGAGATTTAGAAAGTAATTGCATCTCTAAGGTGATATCCGTTTAGAAAAGTTTCTATATAGTAATCGTCGAGAACTAGCATTTAAGGTAGTATTATTCGGGGGATTTTTGTATTTAGTCTAGATAATAAAAATCACAATAAAGACGGTATAATGATAATAATTACAGATCACGAATGGGTCTAATATAATTTATTTTAAAAATAGGAGACCATACGAACTGTTCAGAGATCTAGATAGTAATCGCTAAGAATTAGCATCTTTAAGATGATATCCGTTTAGAGAAGTTTCAATCGTCGAGAACTAGCATTTAAGGTAGTATTATTTAGAAGGATTTCTGCACCTTAGTCTAGATAATAAAAATCACAATAAAGACGGTAATAATGGTAATAATTACAGATTACGGATGGGTGCTATCTTAAAAATAGAAAACCATACGAGCCGTTACCATTACAGAGATCTAGATAGTAATCGTTAAGAACTGACATTTTTAAGGTAATATTCGTTTAAAAAAGTTTCTAGATAGTAATTACAAGAACTAGCATTTAAGGTAATATTATTTAGAAGGATTTCTATCTTAGTCTAGATAATAAGAATCACAATAAAGACGGTATAATAGTAATAATTAAAGATCACGAATGGGTACTAATATAATTTATTTTAAAAATTGATGTGCGTTTGGGCTCGAATTACTCATAATCAGGTACCCTCCCGATGCAATCAAAGTAGTGAGGAGAGAGTGATATTCGTTTTGAAAAGTTTCCAGATAGTAATCATCGAGAACTAGTATTTAAGGTGATATCATTTAAAAGGATTTCTGTACCTTAGTCTAGATAATAAAAACCACAATAAAGACGGTAATAATGGTAATAATTATAACAGTGATAAAATAAAAATAATGACTACATTAATTATTATTACGACCACGGGTGGGGACTAATATAATTTATTTTAAAAATAGCAAACCGTACGAACCGTTACAGTGATCTAGATAGTAATCGCTGAGAACTAGCATTTTAAGGTGATATCATTTAGAAAAGTTTCTAGATAGTAATCGCCGAGGTGATGTCGTTTAGAAAAGTTTTAGATAATAATTGCCGAGATATCATTTACTAAATGATAAAATAACAATAATGACGATAATAATGATAATAATTACAATAGTGATAAAGATAAAAATGATGACTATAATAATTACTATTACGATCACTTGTTTTTTAGATAGAGTCTGTAAAATCAATTAAATTTAATTATTTATTTATTTAACTGTAATAAATAATAGAAAATAAAGTTAACCCTTACCCATCTAAAAAAAATTGTAAGTCGGGCATGTAAGCAATCATACATTGACCATCTACGTTATAGTCTATTGTTTTGCTTTTCCTTATAAACATTAACCTATTCGACGTTGCTGTTAGTAACATAACCCTAAAAACTCTAAAAACTCTAAATTAACGAAAATGAAGCTCACTCGATGCGCATCTTGTAATCTATGACCCGCGAGTATGTCCTTTTCTTCACGAAGCCCGTTTCCAGAAAGTCGTAAGAACTCCATGCTAATAAAAACCAGTTTAATGTAATAAACCTTGTAAAGTCTAATAATATCTTTTTGTTTCCGTTCCGTCTTCATTGGCACCGTGTTACACGAACCCGAGAAAAGATTAGTGATAGTGATTGGATTTAGTCAAACTCTTAGCATTATTGGTAACTTTGATGCGATACTTAACTAGTGAAACCCTTCTTGCGTGATGAGAACCCACCGTCATCCGCTCGATCTATTTGGAGGACTATTAATCTTTGTCTAAAGCATAGTGAAGGTTCTTTAAAAATCCGGCATTCATCTGTTCTCACCAAGGTAAAGGGGCTCGGGATCTGCCAGATTTTATCACATCCTTTGATTAATATTATTACTGCTTAGGTGGTGGGCCATTCAGGAACCAATGTTGGGTTTGTCGTGATTCCATCTGTGGAGCATTCACATGCACGTATTACAAATCATGTGACCAATGTGTCTTCGGGCTTCCTATAGCTACCTACTATAATGCTCAATTATTAGTGATAGTACACGTATTTCGAAAAAAAAATTATTGTCTAATAAAACGAAGACTATGAAAGGATTCTTACATGAAGATTCATTTAATCACGAAGAAGAGGTTTATGATGACTTTATTGAAGCAGCAGAGGCACGTGACGGAGTTCTTACATTCGACTATCATTCGTTAGAGAAAGCAAAAGAAACAATAACTGGATCAATTGAAGAAGCGGATGATGAATTACTCGAAAACGATGATGAATTACTTGAGGATGATGACGAATCCCTTGAAAGTGATGATGAGATGGAAGTATTCAGGGAAGAGTTTGAAAAACCTGTTCCTCCTATTACTCCCGATCATAGAATCAAGTTAACACAATGCGTCGTTATTGACAATGACAATGATCAACACATAATCCAAAGGTGTAATAACATAGGAGATCGATGTGTGGAGCAATTATCAGGTACATGGGAAATTGATTCTCAAGCTGTGCAAGAAGTTGGGGATAATGTGTCAAAGTTAGGCATCTGTTTGCGTCACCTTAATTTTGATCAAAATGTTGTACACAAACCTGTGTTCGGAAAGCGCATAAAGGTGATATGGTCAATTGAAGAAAGTATTATTACTTCACGTCACTGTTTGCTTTGTAACAGATATAAATGCTTTTTAACAAGAGGTAAAACATGCGCATTACATACATGGAAAGTATGTGAACGCACAATTCAAGCCCCATGTCGTGGATTATTCAATTGCCCAGTGCTTACTGAATGTGGTGAGTGGTCAACGAAGACGTTTATCGGTCATGATAATCCTCGTTTCATTTGCACAAACTGCTTTATAATGCACGGAGGCCATTTGCATGTTCAGTCGGGAAAAGGAAGACGTTCAGTTTCATGCTTTGAACAAGGACAACATAACGCCGATGCTACTCTTGCTTTGAAGTTTTTTAGCAAATGGATTAAGCAGACTGCTGAATCTAAAAACGAAATAATGAAGATTAATTTATTGAAAGAACTCATCAAGATTCTTGGTAACATCATTATAGATACACACGAAAAACAGGATGCTATTGGTGTACCTTCTATTGTCCCATCAGTTCCCAGTATTTTTCTAATAAAAATAGCATTTGCAGTCAAAAAGATTAAGGTTAATGAGGCAAGGACATCACTGTTAAAAACCACTAAATGCAAAGCCTTTGGAAGAAAACTTGCTCACTCTATAT